TACAAATTTTTTGGGGGGGGGGGACAAATCTGTCAAATTCTGCAGAATAGATTAACACGCAAAACGTTGTCAAACTAGAACGTGTTCTAGGACTCAAGACTACTATACACTTTTTAGGAGCAGAAAATATTTAAAATTAGCCTAAATATTTAATAAACACAAAAATGTGGGGGATGTGCAGAATTTTATGAATGATTCTATACAGGAAATCTTTTTACAGGAGAGCTTTTCTGTGGAGCTCTGCAGGATTCTGTGCCTGATTGTTAGTCAAATTTGCAAGTTATTCCTAAAGTAAGTTTTATTTAATCACTTAGTCACTCTGCAATACATATGTCATTACAGAACTGTCCATTCTGTTAGAGGGCGACTTGGACATGTTAAATACTGAAAAACACTGCCACATCACCAGTTCAGTGTTCCAACTCTTGACCAGTGGATGTAGTCCGCAGGAAACGTACCCTTGAATAAACGCACTTATTGGTCTCTCTGTATAAAAGAACTATTTCAAGCAGTGGTACAGAGAGGGTCATGCAAGGATGCCAGTGGAAACGCAGAGGGGGAGGGAGCCGCTGTGCGTCTGCAGCAGTTACGCAGCTGGAAAACATCCATTCGTTGGTCTGCCGCCCAAACCTGAGCCTCAGACGTTTGCACAACCACAAAATGTCTATTTTTAGACCCATGTCGTCTGTACCCCAGATATCATCTCTCCTTCGTGCCTCCATCAAAAATGGGCCTGCATGGAAGTGACGGGCCCTTACACGGGCTCCTTACAGCAGGAGCAGAGAACCTCCTCCCAAACATACTTCAAACACATCCTCTAAAATGCTGTGTGTTACCTGGTTGCGTGTCGCTGAGTATTCAGGGTTGACAGGCAAGAAGGGGACGGCGCTCCGTTCCGTCACAAGCGTACTGTGGTTCTGAGTTGTCAGCCACACTAAGAGAAACAGAATGGACATATATAAACAAGACAAATATAAACAAACAGACTCTGATGTCGTAGCCCTGAGGTTTCAGAGAGTTCGCATCTACCCCTCCCGTTCAGTTTGTGTGTTTATGTGTGCGTTTGGCCCCCTGCCTCGCTCCCAGCCCTGCTTACCATCAGAATCCCAGTCTGCCACCCCAGCATGCTACCTCTTCTCCTCTACAACCAGGAACGGGAGTAGTGAGAGGAGGAGGAGGAGGAGGAGAGAATTCCTGCAGCACTCCCTCGCTCTCGCTCCCTTTCACCCTCCTTTCCATTTGGCGTCTCTCTCCCTCCCTTCTCTACAAGCTGACTGCACTGCTCAAGTCCTTCTATAGTTAGTGTTTATACAACACACCTATCACTGTGTCTCCAGGGACACAGATTCAACTGTCCCCTTGCCTCCGGACTGCTCCATAACTACATTACAGAAAGAGTGAGAAGCAGGGAAAGTTGGGACAGGAACAGATGGGGGTTTGTGTCTTACCTGCATCATTCTCTCTACGGTCCACTTCATCGTACACATCCATAGCCAGCTCCTCGAACAAACGGTTATTTAACTGCATCCACACCCACACACACACACAACAGTATGTAGCATTAAAATTCAGACATAGAGGGGAAAGAACACAACATCACAGCAAAAACTGAGCACACACACACAACAGGAGGACAAAACAAAGCAACATGCTCCAACAAGGCACTAAATAAAGATTAAATGCAAGCTAAGGGAATTTTAAGCATCTGCTAAATTTATCTACTGAATTTCTAAGCATTTGAAGAGTTTATTAAACATACTCGTCTCAAATCTCTCAAGAAAAGAGCCTAACCAGAATTCCTGTGACAAGTAATTCATATGGCCACACTGAAATAAAAAACGTTGTGTGATGCAACACAATCATAGTCAATAAGAACATTTTTTATTTAATATGTGGAACGAAATTTTGGACCAATGAGATTTTAGTGTCAGCATAGCTTCGCAGCGCAGTAATACAAAAATTATAAATAAAATGTCCAATAAAATGTCCTGTTTACTTGAGCTGGTTAAGGCAAAAACGTGGAATTAAAGTCAAAATCGACCCTATTTGTTAGTGCATATTACTAGTCTTGTGGTAAACAATTAATCTGTCATTCATCCAGTATTCCATTTTACTCTGAAATATATCACAATACTGAAGTAAATAAATACAGTCACAACTTCTGTTTGACAGACTTTGGACTTCAAGCCCAAAGTATATTTCGTTATGCTAAGGGTATCTGTATAGTGCATGTAATGTAATTTTCATCATCAGCACAGGTGGGCAACACTGACAGGCCAGTAGTTTTACAGTTGTAAAAGAAACGAACAGAAAAACAAGACAGCCGTGTTGTGTCAGGGGGTTAGAAGATACACACCATTCAAATCAAACTGAAGTATACTTTGGGCTTTACATGGAAAAGCTTTTATCGCTTGTTGCTTTATTGTGTTGTGCCTGTCTAAAAACTCAAATTCCCATAATTCTCTGTAGCAGCTCATTAACCTGCATCACTCACCGCTTGAAGCTTCTTCTTGGCTGCCTTGGCCAGTTCAGAGAGGTCCAGGCTACGCAAAGACAAAGACACAGACACAAGAATAAAAGGATGCTGGCGGCATGCGGACAGAGAAAGATGAGGAGAGAGGAAAAAAAGAGATGTGGATGAATGGATGGATGAAGTGCTGCGTAAGGGACGGGACACGGGCAGCCAGAAAAGATGAGGAGGAACAGGAGTGGTTTTTACTTATTTGAATTCATTAGGAACTGATTGGATTGTGATCCATACTAGAATGTTATGACCTAAATGTGAGCTTACAACTATTTCCATTCTAACGTCCCGCTGTTGTGTGGCCTGCGTGGCCTAGATGACATCAGCAGAAAGGACATTTGTTTCTGAGGTGGAACAATGAAAAATAACATGCACTGAATTGTACACAATATGACAGGGAATATGTATTCAAGTAAAAAAGGTAAATCGTGATTTTATATTGACTTGATGGGATGGAAAATTATGAGATATTAAACAAAAATTGTGTTTTCAGACTCCTGTAAATGTGTTTTCTGCCTCATCCCTCTAGTCACCCACACCCAGATGAAGGCCATGTGAGAAAGAAAGAGAGCAGGGTTTATGGAGAGGGGGATGAGAAGAGAGAGAAAGAGATACCTCTGCGTCGGGCACTTAGGGCGAGCTCTGCCTCCAAAAGCGCAGCAAGATGGAGAGAACAGAGAACGAGTGAGCGAGACCGAAAAGTGAGCGAAGACAGACAGATAGAGAGAGAACGAAAAGGGATAGACCCCACATCAACACTCCTTCTGGACAGGTCAGTAAAGGTCATTCAGCTGTGGTGCATTTGAGGTAGTCACTGCTACATAGGTTGAGGACACGCTCTGCCCTAATGCAAACTGATTGACCTTGTGGCGCAACCTGCTGGCCAGCACGCACAAATACACCTGCTGCAAACTGATCTTAGTACACTGTATCTACCCTGTATGGGCAGCGATAAGGAAAAGACTTGAGGGAAGATATCATGACAGGAAATAAATAAAACTGCATTGATGAGCTTCAATATTTATACACAATATTTTTTCTATTACGAATCGGACACATGCAAAAACACTGTCATACACAAACAATGTACCTGTCTGCCATCTGAGGGATGATATAATGACCGTTTTTGTGATCTGCAAAAACACAGACACAAGAAAAACAATGTTGAAATGTTCATCCTCAATTGGGAGGACAGATTGGTCTGTTTCACACCACACACACACATCTAGGACATATTTATTTTGACGGCCAAATTATCAGGTTACAGTATTCACACTGCATGTGTAAGCCTCACAGGAGAAGCTTAGGTGCAATAAGTGTTTCAGCGCGGAGTCTATTTTTGTGTGGAAAGTGCATACACTCAGCAGAAAACGTTAGAAATGCACTATAAACCTGTTTATCAACACTCTTTGCAATTTGGACATCTAAGAAGCAACACAATTTGAATTATGGCCATTTTTTAAAGGGGTCATATGATGTTGCTAAAAAGAACATTATTTTGTGTATTTGGTGTATACAATTTAACCACTGATTTCTAGTCGTGTCCATTTTTGGAAGGCCAAACAAAGTAGTTTCGCTTTCACAACGAAACACAGCGCCACACACGCCGGTCTTGAGTGAGCGGCGGCCGGCGGATTCGACGAAGGAGCGGCCGGTGGGCTTGCGGCAACCACATGTGACGACCCCGGGCTGGACTCCGCTTCGTCCACGGTGAAAGCCGATCCGGCGATCCACAGCACGAAGTTGATGTATTTCCTCAGCGACCAGCACGGATCAGCTCTAGGCATGACGAAGCGGATATCGTCTTCTTTTGGAAGGCCAAACAAAGTAGTTTCGCTTTCACAACGAAACACATAGCGTCTTCACAACATGGCGGCAGTTCAAAGAGAAAGGAAAAATTGAAATCGCATCATATGACCCCTTTAAAGGAAATAGTGTAAAACAGGTACTCTGAACTCACCTGGGCGACGTCCACACAGATAGAAGGCCAGTCTGTCTGTGAGCTCATACTGACACTCTACCAAGCGCTCGGCAAGCTCCACGTGACCTGCTTGCCTGCAAGAACAAAGTCACATTACAAACCAAAGACTCTAGATCCTTTCAAAAACATTAGCTAGACATACAAATAGAGCGATAGAAAGGCAGACAGACAGAGCGGTAGAACGTCAGACTGACAGAACTATAAAACAACAGACAGACAGAGCAATAGGAGGACAGACAAACACAGACAGAGCGGTAGAACATAAGGGCAAAAGACAGAGCTATAACAACAAAACAGAATGATAAAATGACAGACAGACAGCTAAATAGACAGACATAGAGATAGAACGACAAACAGAGAAATAGAATGGCAGAAGGACAGAGCGAGAGAACATCAGACCAACAGAGTGATAGAATGTCAGACAGACAGACAGACAGACAGACAGATCAGTGCCGAGGATCTAGTGACCTCTGTGTTTTATATTTACCGGGCATAGTCTATGGGTGTGCGGCCATTGATATCTGGAGCTCCTGGATCCGCTCCATACACCACCAGCAGTTCGGCCTGCAGAACCTGCCCCGCTTTGGCAGCCACATGTAGAGGGGTCGTGCCCTTTTCCTGTGGAGGGAACATCAGCCACGTGACAGGCGCTGTTCACTCTGCTGTTTTCAAATACAGTCTTTTGGACTGACTGTCTGCACTGTTGTTTCACAGGTAATGAAACCAGATTTTTTTTTTTTTTTTTACAATCTATATTGTTTGCCACAGTAATAACATTAGAATCAAGAAAGAACAAAACTAGAAATATTTTGGTTTGTAAAGTATTTATGCTTTGGATCAGATTTGTAAAAATCGGATGTCATAAACAGTCGGATAACAAAGTTCATAGGTATACATAGAAACGTCCTTAGTTCCAACAATAAACAACAAAAAATTGATATCTAACAATATAGCAATCATAGTTTCTATTTTAGTTATGATGCAGAAAAAACTGACAGAACAAAGAGAACTGTGCGTGATGGCAGATCTTACCGGGTGAAAGAAGTTGGCTTGTGCCCCTAGTGACAGCAGCCGTAAACACGTCTCCAGACTTCCTGTCCTCACACTTGAGTGGAGTTGCTGCAAGCAAGAACAAGAGAATAAGCGAGTGCATGAGAGAGAAAAAGAGAGGGACCCAGCATGAAAGACACAGAAAGCGAGCAGACCTCCTGCACATCCTCTCATTAGGGCCATTCAATAGCACTGAGGAAGGCACATTTATTCACTAGCGGGGTGTCGTTTTAAGGGCCCTCCTGCAAGGGCACAAACAGTGGGGAGCAGAGAGAGGCCGAGGAGGAAAGATGGAATGAGAGTGAGAGGGAAGAGACGGAGATAAAGAGTCGTGAGAGGTGATGCCTTTGGGAAGTCTAACCTTGCTGAGGTCCTTCGTAGTGACCCCATCATCATCACGGCAGGGCAGCTTGTGGACGAAGGCTAACATCTGGTACTTGGCGCGAATGAACTCTGACTTAGTGGGGCTGTAAGGTGAAATATACAAACAGAAACAAATGGAGATCAATTTCAAAATCAAGGAATCAATATAAAATGGAATGCTTGGTCAATAGTCCTGCCTACATCGATACAGTCACGACTGTTTATTTAAAACAATGGCTCCTGCTCTGATGTAATGGACAGGCTTGATTTAAATCAAACCAAATCATCATTTAAAAATCTGGAATAAATCATAAGTTCATCTTAGATGCCTAAAGTTTTTAGTCTTTCTTCAAATAAATAGGGTCTGTAATTGTATTCATATTACATACATAGGAAAATGGAAAAAATAGTAGTGTTTGTCTGCTGTTTGTTTTTTTTTTTTTTAAAGAAAATATTTCAAAATACACTTTCAAAGACTTTACAGGGATAGTTCACCCAAAAATGAAAATTACCCCATGATCTACTCACCCTCAAGCCATCCTAGGTGTATATATGACATTCTTCTTTCAGACGAATACAATCGGAGTTATATTAAATAATGTCCAGTTTAATCCATGCTTTATAATGGGAGTGGATGGTAGCCCAAAATTTGAAGTCCAAAAAATTGGACGCCACTCTCTCGTGAACGTGCGTACGACAGTTAGCGGAAGCTAGAGATTAAGGTTTATTTAAGTTGTAAAAATTTATATTTTTCTTACACGAACGCATCACGTCGCTTCAGAAGGCCTTTATTAACCCCCCAGAGCCATGTAGACTTCTTTTATAATGAATGGGTGCAATTTTTTGGACTTCAAATTTTGGGCTACCATCCACTCCCATTATAAAGCATGGATTAGCCTGGACATTATTTAATATAAATCCGATTGTATTCGTCTGAAAGAAGAATGTCATAGAAACCTAGGATGGCTTGAGGGTGAGTAAATCATGGGGTAATTTTCATTTGTGAAATATTAATAAGTAATTAGGCATTTCAATACATTTACTCATGGATATTTGCCTTTTTATTACAGGTGCAATGAAGACGGCACAGGAAATTCCTTAAACTTTCGTCACCTGCATGAGCTTATGATTTGTAAATGAGACTGGGCGAACCACTGCGCAACTGCTCTGGCAAATTACTTTTTAATTACTCTGTATTTTACTTTTAAAACCTCCTTTCATTTATTCTGAGTGAGCAGATTTGCTAGTCTTGTCTCAGCAGTCTGCTATTACATGGAGCTCCATGAGAACAATTATATACTGCACAGACCAATAAAACAAGAATTACACCCCCAGTCTTCTGTTTTTATGACATTCTGGTATATGCATGATGCATGAATGGTTTATGAGATGGCTTACTGGACTTTATCTTGTGGGTTCGGTTTCCTGCGCCCACTCTGAACTTGTGCTGGATCCAGCAGAGAGTGTTCCCAGATCGAGTTTGCTCCATTACTGGCCAGGGTCTGCACCATCTGAGATGCATACATGCATTTATAAGGCTATGATCCCGAGGAAAATGACAGAAATATGTGTGTGAGAGGCTCTTTAGTTACCTGCAGTAGGGAAGGAGGCCAGCCGCTGTGTCGCAGGTGTTTGACGATGGAAATGTGACGTCCCAGGCTCCTGTGCACAGAACAGCACTCATCGCAGATCAGAACCCCTCGGTTTATACTGCTCCAGCCCGGGTCTGAAAATACATGATAATGTACAATTAAAAATTTTTTACCTTGTGGCGGAAACAGGTTTTTTGTTCCAACATCAATTGAGGGTTGATTTTTCTAACAAGCAAAAAAGACACATAAGGACAGGAAGTGGAAAGATTGACTGGATTGGTTTAGACTGATCACAAAAACTGTCTTTATGTTTTTATAGTCCTGGACCTACTCCTACATCTTATATAAACTGAATTCAGTTTTCGGTATTATATTGAACACTGTTGTAAACGATTCTGCTGATATAAAACGTCGCCAAAGTAAAGTGTAGCTGGATAACACGGACGAGGTTGTGGAAATTGTGAGAATGATTTGTCTTAGTGTTGGAAGCATCAGTAAGAATGGTTAAAAATGATAAGCAAACAACATTATTTGGCCAGCAAAAGTGCATTTATGAATTTATAGCGGTCATTTTTTAAACAATAGCTGTATAATTTCCAGCTATTATTGCAAATTAAAAACTTAAAAGTTGTGAAAACATAATGTTTAATGGATTTACATAAATATTTCCTTCTGACATACATACAAACATGCTGCAAAAAAATGAAATGTCAACATCTTGCCCTGCACTGAATGAGCTCATCGGAGGAAAAGAGCTCTCCTCATATCAAGCAGGGTACAAGTGCAGTCAGGAACAAGGTGACATTCAGGTAAACAGAAAAATGACTAAGTCACAATGTGATAGAAGTGTGCCTCTGGCTGCCAAAGGCCCTCAGGATCTGGCTAAATTTAAACCAGCACCCACAATATTTCCAATATTTTCTTTTTATTAAAATAATAGAACAACGAGGCATCCAAGGTTGAGAAAAAGCCAGAATTAATGTTAAGTAAAATGCCTGCTTGTTTCCTTATTTTAGGCTTATTTTAATCCACCAAATGTTCAGATTCTAACCAACAGTTTGAATCTTGCATGTGATGAAGAACTTCAGAATTACTGGCTTAATTGTAAATAAAAATACCGCATTATATCTGTTTAAAGATGGCCAGACGTTCACAGAGATGGATCTGAGCACCTGTGTGGGAAAATCAAAGATGATGCCATACTTCTTAACATGCTCGTCCTTCCTATAAGTGCTTGAAACCATTAACATCTCAAATGAGTTTCTCTCTGCTCGTAATTAAATTTCACGTGTACACTCTCTAATGCTCACACACGGCGCCATTCAGCCCTCAGTGGCCATGCAATTGACGATCTTCCACACGTTCATTCATACCCATAATACATTTACTAGAATGCATCCGTCTGTCTGTTTCCCCGGCACCCCTCCTCCTCCTCCTCTCTCTGTCATCAGTTCCTCACCTTCCGACACACTCACCATTACCTACATTCCTACAACATGTCAAACACGAAAATGACAAGCTCTATTAGCACCGCAGGACAGGCCAACACAAGGACACAGAGCGTGTGAGGATGCAAAAAAGTCACACAAGCCCTCAAATGTGGAGTCGTCGGCCAGGGGCATGGTGACAGCACTTGTGGCCGATCTTCGAGCATGGTAGCTGAGGAGGTGAAACAGAACTAAACTGTCAAAAACAAGACACACTCCCACATACACGTTCATTCCTGTGGATGAGGGAGCAGCTGTCATGCTCCCCATACCACCCCCTTGGTCTCACCCATGGGGACGGTGAGGCAAAATGAGCAAGGCCAAGGGTGGGCTTGAAGTGACGGCACAGCTGAGCGGCATCAGAAATATGTTTTGTAAACAACTGAAGGCTTTATTATGTCCTAACTTGCTGGTAAACGTATTGAACAATGCTTTTGGGACAAATGGCTAAGAAAAGCCAGACAAACATATGAAGTTCCACTTTATTTAAAATATAAATGCAACACCAACTTCCATCTTTTTTCTCTGTAGAATTTAGGCAATTGTGCCCTGCCCAAGGGCATGTGTGATGGGACTAGAAATGGATAAGAACAACTCAAACCTATAATAAACTATGTAGAAATCTAGATCAATGGAAACCTGTACATACATCAGAAATAAATCAATATATATTTTCCGCCAGCTATGATTTTGGCATGTTGCTCATAATCATAGCAGAAATACTGCACTGATCATTTTATGAAGGCCATCTGTGATAAAAACAGCTCAAACCAGCATAAAGCTGGTTTTTATCTGTGTCCCAGCCTGGACATACTGGTCTGTTGGCTGGTTTTAGAGGGGTTTTGGGAACTTTTCAGCTGGTCATGCTGAGAGACCAGGTTGAAGATCAACTACACAACAGCTTGGCCAAACAGGGAGACCATCTTAAAACAGCTAAGACCATTAACCAGTTTAGGCTGGTTTAAGCATTTTTTCCAGCAAGGAAATGTAATGCTTCATTTTGTAAGCACACTATGAGAATAATAAAGAATAATAACAAATGAATTAACTTTTAGCATTATGCAACAGCATACAGAAATATTCCTGTTGAAAAATATAAATATCTATTATACTTTGGAACAACATGTTGTACAAGAAATAAACAAAACACGTTAATAAACAAATAAACATTCAGGAAATGTGTCACTAAACAATATCTACCAACAAAAAGAATATCAATAAGCAAAACTGTGCACAAACACAAGTAAAGACTGACCCACGTCAGAGTTTGATGTGTACTGTCAACCTGCTAATGCTAGTTAGCTAACTCGTCTCAGCCCAAGTTTAGATTTACTACATTTGGAGAACTGTACTGGACAAACTGAACTAGCACTCTTTATAGCCATAAAGCATTTACAGACTGTAAACACAAAAAAAGTTTTTTACTCGAATAACAGTTACTGGTGTGGTAAAGGGAGTCAGACGGGAGTCCGCAGGCTACTTTTAGCAAACGAGTCTAGCTACTGTCAGTTAGCATTGTTCGATACAGAGCCCGTGTTGTGCTTAATATGCACTAAAAACTTACTTTTAATCAACATAATTTGCTGTCACTACAAAATGCTTATATAAAAGGGTCTGCGTATAGTATAAATGTGTTGCTTTTAATTGACAGCACCTCGCAGGCTCGTCAAACTGGCTTAGGATGGGTGCTAACAAGAAACATCGGATAAAACTTTAACCACGGTAGCAAAGCTGCAATAAGCAGCTCAAATTCATAGTCACAGAAGTTTGGTAAAGGATTTATTTTATGGACAACCATTGTTCTGTTGTATTATAAACCGCAGATAGGTTCAGTGTTAAATTTAGAGACTGTTTGAATAAGCTGGTTTGTTGGGCCGCGATATCGGCCTTAATTTTCGGCCATTTTCCTGATGATCTTAACCGAGTATCCCTGCGCATACGCGGGCTTGGTGTTCACTCGCTAGCGGCCGCGCTCAACCGAGTCCCGGACAACGATAGCTCGCAACAACGCCTCAATCCATAAATCTCAGCCTTACCTGGTGCACTGCAGTCGGCGCACACCTCGCTTCTTTGGACTTTCCTGGACATCGCTGAAACAAAATCTATCACTTCCAGAGATTTTACTTCAATACTGAAGATTATTTAGCTTGCTTTCTCCCCAGGAGCGACGTCTGCGGTTTCAATGCCGCCCCAAATGTCCGGAAGCCGGCGACGAGCTCCCCAGCACTCCCGGTCCTCACCCTTCTCTCTCTCCTCCGGTCTTCTTGTCTTACCGCTACAAGGACTTTACGATTACTTAAAATGAATCCGATTTTTTTGCGGAAGGCGCTTACGTTATCAGATTATTTAATTTTGGGTGTCCCCAATTATCTTTTCCCCACGAATCGTTATCCAAGCCCCGTCTCTGTCTCTGGTAAAAGGGGGTGGGAATAAGAAAAGTATAGATGCACGGTTTATTTACATCCACTGCCCTATACACTTCTGTATGGCAGGCTGCATAGTCTCCCTCTCTCTGACGTCTGTCTCTCGCTCTCTCGTTTCTCTCTCTCTTGCCCCACCGTCGTTAGTGCACAGGCGGGGGCAGACAGAGCAGAGGGACCATGCAGTCATGCCCACCAGCAGAGGCGGACAGTAACTAAGTACACTTTTTGAGTATCGGTACTTTACTTGAGTATTATTTTTTCTGGAAACTTATGACTTTAACTTCACTACATTTGAAAGACAAATATTGTACTTTTCACTCCACTACATTTCAAGATCCTCAAAGTAGAAAGTCGTTAGCAGCTTTGAAAGTCAGTGGGTGATTTTTTCCTTCTCTAAAAACTGTCTTTTTTTCAGACAGTTTATCAGTAATCAATCTTGGGGCTACATGAAGTGATTTCCCAGCATTTTTTGAACACTGACCAGTTGCAAATGTGATATTTATTTACAACAAT